GGCGGGCTTGACCCCCCCCCCCCCCCCCCCCCCCACTTGCTGCTTCCCTTATCTCCTCCCAGTGTACTGGGACTTGAAGGGGGGGGAGGGCTTCCATGGGGCTAGCACTGAGCTGCAGATGCTGTGGGTGTGTGGAGGGGGGGCTCCTCTCTGCCCCCAGTCTGGAAGCAGGGAGCCCTCTGCTGGCTGACAAGAGCTTGTGTGGGAGGAGAAGCCCCACAGCAGATGCAGGCATATAAGTGCACACGGCTGCACAGGGGCACCCGAATATTTGCTGTCCACATTTTCAGGTGTCCTATGCAGCTGTGTATTATGTGTATGCATTAGGATGGCCCAATCCACTCTCCCCACCCCGTCCTCCTCAAAGCCTCTGGTCCCAGTGCCAGAAGCAGGGGATAACCTGGCTGGGCAGCGCAGCTTCTGTTGCACTCGCCAGCCTTGGGGAGCAGCTGACAGCAAAGCAGCATGGTTCCTGCTGCAGCCTGGGCATGTGGCTCCAGGGAGCCGCTGCTGGCAGGGCAACGTGGCCCCCAGTGTCCCGGGAAGCTGCCGCTGCCCAACAGTGCCACCCTTCACACCAAGGAGAGCATCAGGGGGCCACCACTGCCCAGCCAGGCTTCCCCTGCCACTGTGTGTGGTCCCAGTGAGCCTCCCCCTGCACTTTGAACCCCCTGCCCTGAACCCTCCCCTGACTCCTGCACCCCAACCTCCTACCCTGAGCCCTTCCACACTTGCCAGCCGCCTGCCCTGACTCCTGCCCCCTCACCCCTTGCCCTGAACACCCCCAGACACAACCCATTGTCCTGATTCCTGCACCCCCATCCATAGCCTTGAGCCCCTGACATATCCAACGCTGAGCCCTCCACCCCCTCACCTCCCAGCCCTAGGCTTATATATAATCATTTAAATACACCGTGCACATTTTCCTTTTAATTACCAAACAAGCAAGCAAACAGACATTACTTCAGTTAATGGCCTGAGTAACGCTAGGTACATCTGCTAGTGATGCATATTCAACAACTGCTTTTAGAGTAGCAGCTTACATAGACTTTCTTCATAAAAACTGGCTCTTTGGAGAGGGGCAGAAGAGATAAAAGTCTGTAAGATGTTGTCTCAGTATTATAGAAAAATGTAAAGTTTTGTTTTCATGTGCTTCTGTATTTGTAATTTATTTTTCATGTAGGGAGCTCTTTTCTGAGCTGCCCTTTATGATTTTTATGTATTATGGAGAGAGCACACTCTAACCATTCTTTTTGTGTGTATGGTGTCAACTTTGTTAGACTCAAACTGTGATTAAAATGATGACTCTTCTCTTCTAGGAGTCGAATGTGGAATACATGCAGAAGTTGAAAAACAACTTGAAATGGGCAAGAAGTTACTGGCAGCTGGCCAGCTGGCTGACGCCTTGTCTCACTTCCATGCTGCTATAGGTGTGTATCTGAAGATAAAATTACTTGACTGTGCTTGTGGTGCAGGACTTCTGTATGGAAATGGTCCACTCTTCATCATGCCCAGGAATTCCTTAAATGGGTTTTCAAAGCTGGTCAGCATGATGGGATTCACTCAGGAGTGAACGTCTCTTGAACAGCATTGGCAAAAAGAACGCTAGAATGGGGCTGCAGAGTTGTGTAGTCCCATCACAGTTATCACCTTGACTCCAGGCTAATGTGTCTATCTCTAGCTCCCTAAGAGTCTCTTTCATTGAGATTAGAAATAAGGATTTAGTGCACATTTTAAATTACATGAAATATGAGGTTACTACTGTCTATATGTAAATAGTAGTAGTTATGAAAACTTTGGACTATCTGGAATTATGTTGGGTCATTATTGGAATGATGTGTTTGGCTTCCTTATTCGTGTACATCAAATTTCAGATATAGGGACCATGGTAGACATTGAAGTAGGCCTGTAATTTGAGATAAAAAGGTGTACAGGTTGAATCTCCCAAATCTGGGTGTCTCTGGTCTGGCAACATCTGTGGTCTGGCACGGATGTTGCTGGACCAAAGAGCTCCAGGAGCGGAAGCCAGCTAAGGGAACGTGGGTTTGTGGAGTTCTGGTTGGGCCACCAGTGGGGAGAACCCCGGTGTTAGTGGGATCAGGCAGCTGGAGAGCCCGTGGCAGCAGGGCCGGTGGCAGCCAGGGAACCCTCTGGCATCAGTGGGGCTGGAATGGCCTGGCAACCCTGACCGGAAAACCCCCGGTGGCAGTGGGGCCAGGCACTGACTCGGGAGCTCCTGCTGGGGAACCCTGGCAGCGGGGCAAGGCGGCAGCTGTGGAGTCCTGGTCCCAAAAGGGGAACCCCAGCAACAATGGGGCCAAGCAACATGGGGAGTCTCCACCCCTACTGGGGAACTCCTGGTGTCAGTGGGGTCAGGTAGCTGGAGAGCCCCTGGCAGAGAAACCCTCAGCAGTAGTGAGACCTGCAATGGCTGGGCTGCCGGGGGCTGGGAAACCCTGGGAATGTGTGGCACAGCTGGTAGGTAGAGAGCCTTGGCCAGGCCAGCTTTAGCGGGGCAGTGGCATGGCAGGGAGCCTCAGCCTTGGAAGTCCCAGAGAGAGGAGCCTTGACCTTCCCTGGTCCAGGTCAGCTCAGGTCTCAGGTGCTGGACCAGGGAGGTACAACCTGTAGTATGTTTCAGCTTGATTCTGTTGCAGAGCTGAAATATCCTTAGACATTCACCTGCAAGGCTTTTAAATATTAGCAATGTTACCATATTCATGTTCTGTATTTTCAGTAATTTTAACATAAGCAAATTGCATGAGTTGTAAAATATTACTGTATATGCATCTTTTTTTAATTATAAATATAATTGTCCTATTACTTGAACTCAGGCAATGCTGCCACTGCTATTATTGAAGCTTAGCCATACCCTCATTACACTGAGTTGTTGTTCTGAATCTTTCTTCTTTGGTTCCAGAAGGGGACTCTGATAACTACATTGCCTATTACAGAAGAGCCACAGTGTATTTGGCCATGGGCAAATCTAAAGCTGCAATTCGTGATTTAAGTAGAGTGGTTGAACTAAAGCAAGATTTCACATCTGTAAGTAATGCTTTTTCAAGATTCCTTCAGGGTTTAAAAAAAAAAAAAGATGTTCCTTGTTGTTTTCCTGTTTGTTTCAAAGGCAGAATCTTTTTAGCTGGTAGTATCATAAAAGACGACTTTAATACCCCATATTTCAGGAAATTTAAAATTAGAGACCACAAGATCCTAGTGCATGTACTATATTGACCACTCTTTTATTGGCTGAGGGTGAGAACTAGACTAGACTAACGTAACTTGTAATTTTACCTACAGTAAAAAAAGGCCCAAAGCCTTTGCTAACATACCTAAGGGTTTTTAATGAATTCTGAGTCATCTGTAAGCAATAAAATTGGTTGTCAAATCAAAAAACAGTGTACTCTTTAAGATTACCACTTACCTTACCAAAGCTCAAAGACCAAATGGCCCATGGACCAAATGCGGCCCATCTGACATTTCTGTCTGGCTCATCACAACTCCTAGCAATTTACTGGGGGTGGCAATTTAAAGAATTTGCCAGCCAGGGAGGTTGCTTCAGGGTCTGAGGGTGATGGGAGTGGAGTGCTTGCTTGGCATCTTGCTCCCACGGGCATATGTGACCTCGCTGTTCCCAGGCACACACTCTTCTTCCCCCCTCCCCCCCACACACACTATGGGAGCAGCAGAAAAAAGCCTCAGGGTAAGTGTGTTGGGGGAGGAGGGGTGACGAGCAGGAGCGGCAGCATGCAGAGCCCTTCTGCCTCTTCTTGCCATCTGCTCCATCTCGTGATTTTAGTGCGTGTGCACGCGCACACACTATTTATTACTATGGCAGATTTGACAAGTATCTCCTTTAAGAGATTAAATAATTTTCAACAAAATGATACCTTGTAAATGACCTTGATCTGGTGTACAAAAGCAAAAAAAATCTATCTTTTTCCTCTCCTCCCCAACGAAGTAAATATTTGATACAAGAGCTTTCTTTAAAGACCCAGGAGTATTTTAACAATGTTACTATCAATAAATTGTCTTGAAGTCAGTAGATTTTTATTTAACTAATTTATGTTTCTTTAAGAAAGGGTGACTGCAAGCCTTAATTAAAATTAATAGTATTTCTAAATTAACTTGCATGAAAACTTCTTTATCCTGAAAAATCTACATTTCTGTTAGGATCCTTCCAAAATAATCTGCATTGAAATGTTTTAGTGACTTCGATTAACCTGAAAATTTAATGAGAACCATAGCAGAAGTATTAACAAGAAGGACTTCCATACTGTTTTGCCTGCAATCTATTGAAAAAGCTGTGAATTAAGAAAATCAAAACAGTATAGCAGTGTTGACTAGATATCTTACAGGTTAAAAAGTTGTTTTTCTTTGTAGTCTCTGATGGAGGAGTTATTTGGATGCTAAGTGGAGCTACATCTGTGTTTTGGATAATTACTGATCTAAAACCCTGATGTAAACGGCCATGATCCATTTTTGCTAAAGCTATACTTGTAAGAACACAGTTTAGGAAAGGGATGGAGAGGGCAGACACGTTCATATATACTTTTGGTTCAGTTTGTTAGATGTGGATGGGGGATGAAATTTTCCATTTTATTAAATTTTGGGAAATTTGGGATTTAATTTTTCTTTTTTTACTACAAATAAGAACTGAGTGTAGTACAAAACCAGTTGATGTTTCATTTTAGGCGAGATTACAGAGAGGCCATTTACTTCTTAAGCAAGGAAAATTTGATGAAGCAGAAGAAGACTTCAAAAATGTGGTAAGTTGGAAGTATAGAAAACTATATAATTGGCTTTATATTCAGATTATGAGCTAAAAGCATTTTCTTATATACATGGTCTACAATGGATATAGTTTATATCTAGCTGATTGCAGACCACATTTTTAAAAAAAGATGTTGCAGCAGAGTTATTTTGTATAAACAAATAATGGAAAATAATAGAGTAATTGTGAATTAACTATAACTCTCCTAAGTGAAGTGTACAATCTTAATTTTTTGTTATTAAAGAGTTCAGTTGCAATAGCCACTGCAAATATGATGCTTTTTAGACATTATAATATAAGTGCAGCTTTAATTTCATGGTTAAGTAGATTTTGTCCCATTTTGTGTGTCCCTTCTCATATTTGACATGAAAACAATTATGTAGTGTAGCATTTTGAAAAATATTGTCAGGTTTAAACGCGTTTTACCACTCCATCATTCATGCCAGGGAAAACGTGTGTTTTTATAGATGAAAGACACACAGACCTTATGGTGCTGCGCTGGAACTTGGAAGACCTAGATTCAGTTCCGTGTGCTACCAGAGACACTTGTGTGACCTTGGCCAAATCATTCAGTGTTTCTGTGCCCTGGTACTCCAGCTGTCGAATGATCTCCTCATTTCACATGGGTATTGTGAGGTGCTCAGATACTGCAGGAAGGGGGAACAATACTGTACAAGTACTGTAGAGGTTTTTTTTTCCCCTACAAAACAAGTTTGGTGGGTTTTTTTTAATCTTATCAAGTAAAAGCATTTATAAGCCTCTTAGCACACTTGCAAAAAGTAATCCACTTAACCTCAGAATTAACTAAACTTTCGTTCTGATATAACATACTAGCCTCTTCCTTCTTTCCTTGTCACATTATGCAAGCCAGGTCCAGGCCACACTGGGCAAAATTCCAAAGGGCATGGGAATAGGCTGTATTTGCTTTGCTTTTCTCTCTTATGTGGAGTTGTGTATTGTAAATATTAAGCATTTAATGCATTCAGGGATAAGCAATTTTTTATAAGATAAAGAAACCCTATAAAGGAATGTAATTATATTCCATGGTCCCAGCTTTGTTCATGGAATGTGTGGAAGCACAGAGATGAGATGTTTATTGGAGACCCTTTCCACATGTGCTTAAGACAAAAACATAGTGGTCATATTTAACAACCCTTGAGTGCGAAGTGAAGCTGAACTTATGCTGGTTAGCTGAGTGTCTTGTCTTTGTAATGGATTTTAATACTACTAGTGATTGATTACTGTTTTTATGCATATGTCTATGTGTGAAATTTATTAATATTTGTCCAGACATTTGGGCTGTGTCTACATTGGCAAGATTTTGCGGAAAAGTGGGTGCTTTTGCGCAAAATCTTGCCAGCTGTCTACACTGATGTTCTAATGTATAAAATCAGTGCTTCTTGCGCAAATACTCTCACACTCCCATTCTGGGATAAGCCGTCTTGCGCAACTGTTCTTGGGCAAGAGGCCAGTGTAGACAGGCAACGTTAATTTCTTGCACAAGAAAGCCCGATGGATAAAATGGCCACCCTAGCTTTCTTGCACAAGAGAGCGTTTACACTGGCACGGATGCTCTTGTGCAAAAGCACATCTCTTGCGCAAAAGCACATGCCAGTGTAGATGCTCTCTTGTGCAAATACTTTTACCCCAAATCTCTTGCGTTAAAAGTATTTGCGCAAAATCTTGCCAATGTAGACATAGCACCACATTTGGGGGGGGGGGGGAATTTGGGGCCACTAAATCATCAGAACAGTGTTTATTTTTACCCAAATTCAAAACTCTAGAAGAACAGCAGAACACAAAGCTTAACTTTACTTTTCAAAGCTTGGCTATTATAAAGCAAAGCTGTGTTTGGCTTAAACTTATTGAATATTATATTAATAAAATGAAATGACCAGCAGTTACTGCTAATATGATAATGGACTATTATGTTGGAATTATGCAGTAGTGTTGAGCCAATTGCAAACTAATTATGAATATCTGTAAAAACCTATTTCAGTTCACTAAAACCTCACACTGGAATTTGACCATCAAGTAATAGTTCTGAAAATTATACACCTTTTAAAATATATGGGAAGCTTCGGATTTCTTTAGTCTCTGCAAGGTAGTTGTACTTGTCTTGTTCATAGAATTAAATAAACAGCAACAACACATTTGCTTATGTGCATGTAAACTTCAGTTAAATTTGGTACACTATGTCCTTGGCTTTTTTTAATTCAGCAAGCTGATAAGTACACAGGACAATTTAGAAGTATTGCGTGAGTCAGTTTGAAGCTGTTTAACTGATGTTCTATTTGTGTTGTCTGGAGGCTGGGAAAAGAGGAGAATTACCTCACTGTCTGAAGCTAGGGGGTTTAGAACAACCCGATGGTTCTACCAAACATTGTGTGTAAGCTATTTAGTTTTACTAGGGGGCTACACCCCCTGCTTGCTATGCTTGCCAGCCTCCCTCCCATCTCTCCAGAGCACCGGGGAGGAAGGAGACTGTGTCTATTTGTGTTGTCTGGAGGCTGGGAAAAGAGGAGAATTACCTCACTGTCTGAAGCTAGGGGGTTTAGAACAACCCGATGGTTCTACCAAACATTGTGTGTAAGCTATTTAGTTTTACTAGGGGGCTACACCCCCTGCTTGCTATGCTTGCCAGCCTCCCTCCCATCTCTCCAGAGCACCGGGGAGGAAGGAGACTGTGTAGCTCCCCTCCCCTGTCCGTCCCCGTCCCCCCCCCCCCTGCCACCGCGCGGG